GCATTAATTGTTAAATTTTTTTTATATTCTTCTTTTATTAGTATCATTGAATATACAAATTATTAACCATATTTGATATCATAGGTATTTTCGAAATAAAATTTATATTTATCAAAAATATAACATACTTAATTGCTTTTCTTAGTTCTGATGATTTAATCTTTTGTTTCTTATAAAAAGGATCAGAAGGAGTATTTATTATTGTTATTACTACTGTTGTAATTATTATCACTTGATTTTTTATTCATTACTATTATAATTACTATTATTGCTATAGTTACTAATATATTAAAATCTATAATTTAACTTTAATGTATTTCCAACTTTGTCTGCATTTAATTAAAAATGAAAAAATTGAATTATAATTTAACTAGAAATTACAGTTATATGTCTTGATTGTTTGCACAACTAAAACATAATAATTACATTCTAAATTTCAATTTCATGCGTCTTTAAAACTCTGGTTAACATTATCATATCAAACATAATAAAAACTTGGTTTCATATCATTGTCGCCATCAAGTAGCCGCAAGCACCAACCAACAGCAAACACCGACCAACCAGACCAGCCTAGGTCGCACGGAAGAGAGAAGATGAGAGACTGTGTCACACGGAAGAGAGAAGATCAGAGAATGAGTCGCACGGAAGAGAGAAGATGAGAGAGAAAGGGAAAAAATTGCCCTAGAACTGTTTTTAAAAACCGGGTCAAAAAAACTCGACCCGAAAATCCAACCCGCAAAAGCCCAACCCAAAAATCCAAGGCCAGAATCTGACCCAAGATCGGATCATCGCCGATCCTACGATCCTATGGGAAAAGATTGGGATCCTAGCCAATCGTACAGATTTGCGATCCCAGTTTCTAACAAGATCTCAAGGAAGGTTTAAGGTCGTAAAATCGTACGATCTTCAGTAGTAGCAACTAACTATCAAAATTTTGAACTTAACATGTAGTGCATTCAGATGTAAACGCAACTGGAGTGTTTTTCAGCAATTTCTCATCTCTCAAGCTTAGTACTTTCTTCTAGAAATTAAATGTAACTAATTAATTCTTTTCTAATTATACTTACGTTGCAGATTCATTCAAAGAAAAGAAATAGACTTGATAACAAAATATTGCATGACTTGGTTTGTGTGCTTCCGCATTTATTCAATATTAGTTAGATTGAATAGCTAATTGACTTTTTATTTATTTAATTACAATCTTAAAGATGTAATTGATCTAATTACACTCAATAAAATTGATGGGTGTAATGAGTGGCTGGTTGGAGAGGTAGATAATGATGCTCATGATGAGGATGCTAGAAATGACTTAGTTTTTTATGATGATGATGATATTTATATTGGGTAACTGTTTATGAAGCTTTTGGAGTTGAAGAGCCTAGAACATATACTAAGCGTCATTCTATGAAACAAAAGAATTCATAAAGTCATATGACTATTAAAGTTGCAAAAGTTTCCAAGATCAAGACATGTTTAACAAGAAAAGGAAAAGAGAAAATGGTGATTGAAGATGATAATGATGAAGAACTAGAAGATGAAGATGAATTAGAAATTAATCTTCAAGAATCTAAGGAAGAAGAGGAGGAGAAGGAATATGCCTTGGTAGATGAAAAAGATGACTATTTTGGAATTGAAGAGGAGGATTAGAAAATTAACTTTTATATTTTTATTGTTTACTATCACTTTGTTTTATTAACTTGTCATTTGATGATTTTTTATTTTATGTTGAATTATGTTGAGTTGAGACTTAAGCTACAAAAGTTATATTAATTTATTTACTTAATTTTCTATGATTTGTAGTAATTTTTTATATATTTTATTATATTTGCCATACTTCTATCATAACTTTATGACAGTTTTTCGGCTGTCCATCATGACCTGCTATACGCCATTGATAATATTGCCCTTGACACATCCCTTTCCCTTCTGTTCTCACCTTGGGTCCATCTCCTACTTTCACCCAATATAGAGGGGTTTCTTTGACCGGTACCTTAAGATTTCTCACTAATTGTTGAGAAATGAATTCCACTATCACCAAAAACTTTCACCTTGTTATCGAGCATAGCCCACAGTTTAAGTGATCTACCAACCATACTCCGAAGATCCAGCTAAGCTATTAGTCCTTCCCAAGGTCCCTCATCCTCTTCACTCTTTGTGACTCCTAATTCTTCTGGGTCGTATACTTCTTCCAAAATCATTACCCTGAGATGTTTATTCTTGCAAACATGCTCTGTTATGTACTTCTTATCATAGGTTAAGCAAAGCACCTTTCTCTTTCTCTCTTTATACTCTGCCTCACGCGTTTGTCTGATTCTTCTACCTTTATTATTTTCCTCCACTCCTGCTACAATCTTGTTACAGACATCACATATCAGATTCTGACTTGCAACATTATCGGTCTTTGGAAGGATAGTGCTGCTCCTCCAATTATTAACAGAGCTTCCCCCAATTTTGGCTGATCTCCATAATTCTTGCATGGTCATATATCTCTGCCCCATTCCCTGTCCTGCCAGTTCTAGCAAAATCTCCTCTTGAATCTTAGCAATCTTCATAGCTTCTTGTACAGATTGGGGTGTATGGAGCCTAACTGATTTCTCTAAAGGACAACGCAGACCTCCCAAAAATATGCTTAAAGCCACTGACTCCTCTACTTCTACTCTAGCAAACAATTCATCAAAGGCCTCCAAATACTCTCCTAAAGTGCTTGTTTGCTTCAATCTTGTTAATTCCAATAAAGGATCATTGTAGTTACCATCATCAAACCTACATTTATCTCTACTTCTCTGTACAGTGTAATGCCATAGCCATGCAAAAGCCTTTCCCTCCATAGCCATCATTAGAAGTTTAGATTTTTGGGTTTCTGGCACATCATCTAATGCAAAGTAGTGCTCACATTTGCAGCCCATCAAAAGGGGAAAAAAGAATCTTGGGTGCCTCGGTAACCCAGTTTTTGTCAAAATTCAGTTCTTCATCTTTTCTGTCATAAGCTTTCCTTAATCCTAGACTTGAGTCATCTTTCACGTTCTGTTCCATCATTTCCTTGAGTGTTGCATGGACTGTCCCCATCAAATTCATCTGCTCCTTAGTTTCTTGTCGCATTTCATCAAATCGTGTCTCTAACTCTTTGTTCAAAACCATCTTCTTGGCTTCTTGCTTTACCCAATTGCACAGAAAAAATTTTCTAACCAAGAACCTGTTTTCTTTCAAGAATCTTGCACAACTTAACTCCTTGGGCGACTTCAGATCACAAATACCCCAACTCAAAATCTAACGTCAAATGTTGAATTCAAGAATCAAAATCTTGCCTCAACCACAACTCAAGATTGGAGCTCTGATACCAGTGTTAGAACTGGTACAGCAAGGAAAGAGAAAAAAAGACTGAATTGCATTACTGAGAATGAACACAGTCCTGTACCCAATGTAAGTGAAGACTGTTATCATACAATGCCAGAAATATTTTAGAGATCTAGGCAACTATCCAACACAAACTTTTTCACTTACGAAAGACACCTCAATTCTAACTTTGACCTTTATAACAACCATCCCTAGTAATTGCCTCCTAATTATGAGCTAACTGATTGTTTCTGTAGGTTGGGCCTTAACATTAACTGGCCCACACTTCCTTTTCCTATATAATATACTCTTTTTATTATGGGTTTATTGCTATCAGAAAATTTCCTCATTTACAATACTTCCCTTGCTATATGTCAATGTTAAGAGTGTGCAGTGACAAATTAGGTTCAAAACCCATTGGCCATATGAAAGCCTAGCAATTTGAAAAGGAGGTAGTAATTACAAGTCGAAAATTACAACTTTCAGCAGAAGCATAATAAACAAGTCTCCATATGTTGGTTGGAGATGTCTTTAAGCACAGATTATACATGTAATGAAGATTCAACATGGTTTTACACTGTCATCCTGTGTACTAATGATAACTCAGATAATATTCATGACCCTGCATATCACACTCAAGTTGTGTACAAAATATAGTGTAGGTCAAATATTCTTATTTTCACCGATCTAATTTCTGTTGAGAGGAAAAAGCTCACACAAAGAATTGCCAGCACAATCAGACAACATTTAGAATATGTAGTGGCACAAACATAATTGACAAAGAAATCAAATGCTATTGACTGGATTACATATGTTCAGGAATTTTCAATGATGCAGAAATATTTATGAACAGAAAAAAGTTGCAAACAGAACCGTACATACAGAATTTATGCGCAACCAGCAAGGTTACTATTGCGTTTAACAGCTTTTCACACAGTTCCAATCCTACAAAGTGGGCAACTCTTGTACTAAAACAAATAAACAATATTTTTTAATTATGTCCATGAAATGATGTTACAGTTTAAAGACAATCGGGCAAGAAAAGGTAAAAAAGAATAATTGAGAGTGGAGGAAACCAATTGTGTCTCCAATTTATTGTTTTCAACAAAACAAACACAATCACTAGTTTAGAATTTTTAACATAACTCTGTTCCTATTTGGAGAATGCAACATTCACAGCATAAACAAACAATCAAAGATAAAAGTGCTTTTTTTTTCCCCAAATCTCAATTAATTTCGTTTGTATAGTTTACATAGCTAAATTCTTCACAGAACAGAAACATAAACACCAAGTAGCTAGAATTACCAAATTCAATAGCCGTTGTCATTCGGATTTATCATGCCATAAAGTCAAAATACTCCACATGTAATCTACGAAATCACTCTCCAAACACGCAGATAACTGTAAATATCACTGCTTTATGCTTTACAAAAATAAATAAATCAAAGCTTTCTGATTTACTTCGTTTACTTAAACAATCCAAGATCCCTTACTATAGGAATCATTTTTATAAGACACAAGCATCTGGGTTTTTAGTCTCACGATAATAAATAGTATATGAGATCAAAAGACAATTAGTAGCATCAAATCAATGACATGAAAAGCAGTGATAGAAAAGGGCTTAGAAAAGAACAAGCAAACATGAGTACGAGAGCGAGAACCGAACCTGTAACCTTGAGATGGGTTATGAATATCGGCATCCATCTTTCTCGATCTATGACACCAAAGACTGTCTTCAGAGCTCAGAAAGAGAGACGAGAGAGCGCCATGCCGAGGATATCCGAGAATTCAATATCCACACTCTTTCTCGTTATTTTGTCCTTTTCCTCTTATCCATTCTTGGGACGTGAAATATAACTTTTTTATGTCTTTTCCTTTAAATATTCTCACTTTTGAGACGGTGATTTATCCACAATAAGCGGTAGATAACGAAGTCATAATAGATTAATAAATATAATAACGAATTCTTTAATTTTGTAATATACCGTATGATTAAAAATTAATTATTTATAAATTTAATTATATGTAATGTTATACATATTGCAAAATAATGTAATAAAATAATATCATATAATAAAAAACTTAAAACATTAAATAAATATTGTTTAAATGTTCGTTTGTTTGTAATTTGAATACAATTTATTTTAAATTATTTAATATATTTAAGTATATATTTAAATTAATTTAGATTTTAAATGTTTATTTGTTTGAAAAACATACTTTTACTTTTATAAATTGTAAAATATTATTTCAGAATACTTTTTTTCTTTGTATTTTAAAATACTTTTCAATTCAAAAAAATCGTATAAAACATTGATTATAAAAAACAATAAAAATGTTTAAATAATTATTTCATCACATCCGTACTTATAAACAGTAAAGTGATAGGGAAGACGAAGTTGACACGTAACAGTCTGCAATAGCGAGGAACAGATAGACATCAGTCTGATTTCTGTCCCAACTCCACACCCATATGGTTTTCATTTTGAGGATTTTCCCCTTCTGTTCTCATAATTTTTTATTTTAAATTTTATTTTAATTTTATAGCAATTTCTAAATTTTACATTATCTTCTAATTTTTACTTATTCCAAAAATTGGATCTTAATATAAATATGAATGTATAACAGTGATTAAATGTTTAAAAAAAGTAAAAGTAAGTTGTTGGTTAAACATTATTTGTGTAAATTAATGAAGTTTCCAAATATGATTTGAGACTTCTTAATGATAGTTGATAATAAAGTACATATGAAAAAATTAATTCAAATGTGTTGTAATTAAAAAAATTATTAAGTTGAGACAAAAAAATAAAAATTAAGAAAATTTTGACAAAAAATAATTTAAACAACTAAATCAAATAAAAAAATTATCAAACATAAATTAACTTTAAAAGACTATATTGAATTAAAAAAGTTAGACAAATAAAATTTAAATTAAATTAAATTTAGAGAAAAATATAATTTAGATTTTAAAAGATAAAAAAAATTGTAATTATAATTATTTTAACTAATTAATTAATAATTATAATGTAGGGTATGTGAACTTCTTAGAAATTTATGTTTTAAGGATAAACATATGATGAGATGGATGTCGGGTTGGTTAGATATGGTTGTGCAGAATTGAGTTAATTTGACGGTTGGCTAGTATTTAGTGGGCTCTCAGTCAATAATGGTGTATAACCAGAGAATATTGTGTAGGAAAAACTGAACATCATGTTGATGAACAGTTTGTTGTAGGGACCTTCTTGCATGTAGGGTCAAAGGAACCATGGCATTTTGAGAGGAAAAATCTTAAGACAGTCCTTGTATAGAAGTAAAACCTAGTGGATAAGTAAGAGTGAGTTGTTAGGTCAGGGATCCCATTTGTGGCTTTTCTCTCTAAAGACTTCAACACTTTCAAGATTTGTGACATTTATTCTTTCAACTGATGGACTTCATTCCTCAATTTCTCATTGTGCTCCTTTAACTCATCCATAATCCTTACTTGAGCATGAGTTTTATAAGGATGCTTTAAAAATTGTTTTCTCGCTATATTTGCTTAATTATTTTTTCTGTGAGTGATATAGTAAAAAAAGAAGTTAACACAATGAAAAATATGTTTAAAAGAATGAAAACTTAAACAATCATAATAGTTATTGAGCGTCTTTGAGCTTTTCTTTTAAATGGAAATTAATGTAGGATCATCATCAAATAAATCACACCAAAATGCAAGAACTTTCTTCTCAATTCAACTAATTGCACCCCACTGCTACTTGATCCCACATTAATTTTCATTTTTATTAGATACTCAAATAACTTTGTAATCTTCAACTTATAAATAAAAATAAAATACACTACAACAAAAAAGATATTAGATAGCAATTTTTCATTGTTTTAGAGAGCTCTAATAAGCATTGTTATTCAAAGTGGATGTCTCTTAGAGAATGATTCATATAACCGCTCGACAAAGTATGAGTATGAATCGCAAACTGTTATTTTCACGATGTATGCACTAAAGTAATCTCACTAGCAAGTGTACTAGTATGGTTGTAGCAAGTTATAAAATTTTTGGAATCAAAGTTGAGTCCCAAGTATTATCCTCAGGGATTGGTTTTCTCAATTATCACTTCACAAATCAATATTTAGTTGAACCATACAATTGATTAGAGAGTTTGTATTATATAAAATTCAAAAATAACAAGTATAGAAAAATGTAAACTTGAAGTAAAACAGAACTGCAAAAATTGTATTGAGATGAGATGTATGAACGAATTAGAGTTAGAAAATTACTTCACCAAAATGTCAAGCCTATCAAACTTATAGAAAATTACTTAATAATAAATTACAGGCTTGACAGATTTTGTCTTAAAACAAGTAGTATTCAGTAAATCTAGTGTGAATCGTTATTCTGAGGTAGGGAAGCTTACTTTAACTATTAAACGATGTTTGGAATGATTTGGTATGCTATTACAAGAAGTTTTGAAATGATTTTGTCAGATATTTTGGATGAAAACTATTTTCAATGTTGTAATTGGTATTAATTGATTTAAAATGCTGAGATTTAGCTGAAATATTATGAATTATTTTAGCTAAGCGGTTAAGAATATGATTTTGTCTGTGATGCATCATACTGAGATATATGTCTTGCTTCATTATAGAGTCGAGTTTCACGTTTAGATGGGTAGATGTATAACGATAGATCATACTGAGTTGTACTATGTTGTGCTATCTGGATCCAGATACCAGAAGGGTAGCTCTCGAATCAGCTCAATTTCTTTTGGATTATTTAGGCTGTAAAACCAATTAGAACCATTTTCATGTTGCGCATTAGATGGATTGGGAATGCATGAAGTTGTTGCTGTGAGTAATATTTTGCTCTATATATGATTTTTCTTTTGTAAGCTCACTCTTACATTTCTGTCTATGTTGTTGTGTGCGTGTATACTGCGATAATTGTACGGTGGTACGTGAGCAAATGTAGCAGCAGGTGTTGCATCTACTTTACAGGCTAAGAGGTCAGTAGAAAATTGTTAGAAGGCTAGAGTTGAGTAATTTTGCATTAAATTTCTTTTTCTTATATTTTGAGATCTCATATACAGGAAGTTATGTAGTATAATTTTTGTGTATTTTGAACTAAATATAATATTATGTTGTTTTGTTGGATATTTATTGTAATGAACTTTGTTTATTTTGAATGAAAAGTGAATTTTATACTTATATTCTCTATTATTTATTCATCTTAAATAAGTAAGAAGTGTAGAATTAATGTTCCTAGTCCCTTATAAAAAGGAGTCGTGACATGAATGCTTGATAACTTTACACCAACAACCCCCCTTTTTTGTTTGTTTGAACTTGGTGCATATTTCATGTTTAATAATTAGTCCCTCAAGCAATGTTCACAAGAGGACGACTTAGATTAGCTTAGCCTAGTACACATTTAATTTAATCATACTTCGATAGAGGTAGCGACAATTCTTTGATCAGATAGCATTGCAATGGACTTTGTGATATGATTGCCAAGAACACCTATTGGTCATTACACAATATGGGTAATAGTAGATAGACTAACTAAATTTGCTCACTTTTTGCCTATAAGCATAAAAAGTCCCTTGAAGAAGCTGACGCAAATGTATGTGAAGAAAATATTGAGACTCTATGATATACCTAATACCATCATATAAGAGAGAGATCCTAAATTTACATCAAAATTTTAGGAAAGCTTGCATCAAGCTTTAGGAACTCAACTTCTGGTTAGCTTAGCTTATCATCTACAAATTGATGGATGATTTGAAAGAATGATAAGAGCCTTGAAAGACATGTTGTGCACTTGTGTGTTGGAAGACAAAGGAGCATGGGACAAATTCCTACCACTAGTAGAATTCACTTATAACAACAATACCCTTTCAAGCATCGGAATGCCATCCTTTGAAGCTTTATATGAAAGAAGGTGTCATACATCATTGGGTTGGTTTGAGATTGGCAAAATCTATTAGTGGAGTTAGAAATGGTACAACAAATGACAAATCAAATTAAGGTGACACAACTAGAAAAAAGCTATTTATAGACAGCTTTACAGACAGATTTTTTTAAAAATTTTCTGAAAAATTCAATTGTAAATCTGTCTGTATTACAGACAAAATTTTATCTGTCTGTAATTGGTCCGCTATTTGGCGCGAAGTATTATAGACAGGAAAATAAACAAATTTTTTTGTCTGTAATTTGAAAATAGGAGGGATATTTGGAGCGAGAGTTACAGATAGGAAAATCTATTTGTAAATGTTGTCATTTTTGACCGACTTTTCATCTGGCAATTTACAGACAGATTTTTTCGTCTATAACTGTATTTGATAAGACGGATAAATCTGTCTGTAATTGAACCTTTAAAACACATCATTTCATAAACCATTTACAGATGAAAAAAATCTGTCTGTAATGTGTGAAACACATAAAACTGCGCCTCCTCCTTCTTCTTCCTCATTTTGCATAATTTTTTCTCTCTCTCTGTCTCTCTCTAAGAGCTTCAGTTTTTTGGCCTTTGCAAGTGATTGGAGCATTTATTTGAAAGATAATTTACATTATTGTGTTCCTGGTACGATACTCTAACTTTTGATCAGTTTAATTTTTCTTATTTTTTATATATTTTAGAGACTTAAAATTTTTAAGATAGAGTTATAGGATTGAAGATTATATGACTGGGGGAAGGGCATAGATGTCCTTCTCTGAACCTGATTATTGTGTGCTGTGGGATTGTTTATGTTTGCAGAGTTTGTAGAATATGCATATTGTAGAGTTATAAGGAGATGTGCTCTAAAACGGTTTAAGATTGTGATGTGTTTGTATTTTATGCATTGATTAATATATTGTTATATAATATATTAGTTATGTATGGTGAAAATTTTAATTTTTGTAAAAAGGTGGTAAACAAACGTAAGGAAATTGACATGTATTAGGGGAGATTCTGCCAAAATTTATATTAAAAATTTGTGTAATGTATAATAGAAGGTTGATACAACATTGTGTATTTATATTAGGTTTATATAGTTCTTGATCCAGATGTTTCTTAGAAATGGTCAGTGTATGTATGATAGGTTGCACCCAAGTCGGGGGGAATAAAACTTGAATTTTTTTAGGATGCAGAGGAATTCATACGTATTTGTTGTAATTCGCAGCAACTCATCACCAACTAAAAAGTTAGAAGTTTATGTTCTAAGTGCTCAAGTGTAGAAAGTTTTTGGATATTGATTCAATTAGGTATGATTTGTATAAGTTTGGATTTAAACACGATTATTGGATATGGACTGAGTATGGGAAAGTAGTTAATGTCAAAAATCAAGTAGGCAATTCAAATATATTGCAATCAGGTGAGGATGTAGGTAATGTAAGTTGGGAAGAAAGCAATAGTCGTTATCAAGAAATAGTTTATGATGTTGTTGGTCCTGAATTTGTAATTTTTCGTGATTTTGAAGCTGAACAAGAACCTAATAGAGAGGCTGCAAAGTTTTGTAATGTTTTAGAGGCAGCAAACAAGCCTTTATGAAATAGGTGTGTGCATTCAGAGTTATCTTTAGCAGTAAGAATGTTAAGCATAAAGTCAGAAGGCAATCAAAGTCAGAGTTCATTTGATCAATGAGCTACATTAATTAGTGAGTTTAGTCCCTAACCTGACTCAATCCCAAAAGACTTTTACCAAGCAAAAAAAGAAGTCAAAATTGATTGTTGTTTGAAAGACTACATACTGTATTACAAAGATGATGCTGTTTTGACTAATTGCAAATTCTGTGGAGAGCTTAGGTTTAAACCAATAAGAGGTGGTACAAGTGGTAAACATAAAGATGTACCGCAAAATAAAATGCATTATTTGTCCCTTTTCTTGCACCCGAGAAAGTGGAGGACATGGTCCGCACTTAGGTCCATGCCCTCAATGAAGAACTCTAAAAGCAGAATGAGGAGATGTGGAAGAGTAAGGAAAGTGCATGGAAGAAGAAGTGGACAAAGAAAATGAAGAAGAAGATAGAGAAGAAGGTGACATTGAGGATGCAAAGAGAGGTCCAAAAATACAGATACAGCAGATGCATGCATGTTTTGAGCTCATGAGATCAAGCAGCTCCACACCTCTTCCTCCTCCTTCACGAGCTTCAGCACCACCAGTTTTCAGCTTCATGCATCATTCTTCTTCCAACTCCTCGTCTACTGATGACAATGCTCAATCAGATTATGATCATACAGATTATTCGTGATGAACACTTTTAATATAAGCTCCTTTTTTAAATTGCTAACCCATATATATTGAATGAATAATTAATAAGCTCACATTTACTAGTAATAAATATGCCTGCTTTTATTGATCTAAGCTATTTTGGGGGTATAACATTATTAAGTTACAAGTACGTTTAATGAATTGATTTATGTTTGCTTGTAAATATTACCAATGATATACGAAGAGAGAATTGCAAAATGACAGTTAAATTAATAATTGCGACAGCATTAGAAGGAAACAAATTATTAAAATAAAGTATGCAAAGCGTTTAGACCGTTACCATTAAATGAGTCACGTTGTTTACTAATTATAATTTTATTTTAATAAAAGATTTACATGTAATTTTATCATAAATTATCAAGACAATATTCTTATTTTCATCAGCATTTAAATTTGCATGAAAATTAGCAAAGTTTTACCTTATTATTGTTTCATTTACGCCAACAAGAGAATTTAATGTTTATAATAACCTAATAACGCCGAACAACAATGGTCATACAACTAACGTGCTAAGAAAATTGTTTTTCACTAAATTTACGCAATTAATCTCTCTAAATATTCGTTTTTCTTCCAAAGGTTGCCAGGTCGAATTTACTTGAAGATAAGAACGATGTCTTACAACAGTTATATTCTTAGAGGTTGTCTAAGTAATTATTAAACGTTATCTTTTCATTTTATTGAACGCACTCAAATATAATAACATTGTCGGATAGGATATGGCAAGAGTCTCCCTTTGAATATTTAACAAATCGCTTAACTAAAACTCAAACTAGTGACCATATTGAAACAATCAAGTGATAATCAATCTACTCACTCGGAAATATAATTTTATTATTTGAAAATATATCTGTCCCTTCCCCTTCTTCAAGCACCTCCCAAATCCCAATCAACCCTTCCTTATGGTAGCCACCGCTAAGAATGCAGGGACTAGTCCACTTCATATCCTCCCCATTTCGAACAAACTAGCTGACACAATTTATGAAGAAAAATTGCATTACAATCAATCAATCAATAAAAAAATGGAAAATACAAATATTATTTGATCCAAGTTTAAGATACAGAAAATACAATTTTAGAATACAAAAATACAATTCTCAGAGGTTTAGAAACCCTTGATGACACTTCCTTTTGATGAGCTGGTTTCAGAATCTTTGTACATCTGGTTTATCAGCAGAACTCAATAGCTGTAACCCCACATCATCCAAAACCTAATGAGCGGAAGAAGGGGAAGGCAAGAAAGAAATCCTATTGTGTCGGCAAAAAGAGCTGAGAGAAAGTAGGCAGAAAAAGTGTTTTCTTTTATCAATATCCACATGGGCATACACATTACATTGCCAATTCCTTCAGGTATATGCAGCAAACAGCTCTTGAACACCTACACTTCGGCAATTGTGGGTGATCAACATATTAAAAAAGCCTATACTTTGTTTACATCGGAGCAGAGATAGCACATTACCAGTCATTCAGCACTGTCATCACTCAACCATTCGTCATAAGTGTTAATATGAATAACATTACAAATGATCACTGCAAAGAAATGTCAAAACCTCATTTCGATGTTGATGTCCCTTGTGTGAGATCATAGACTGTGCGGAACCTAAGTCCAGAACCTATATGGTTTGATGTAGGCCACAGCCAGCTAAGGATATTTGGTCCCAAAACCTGCAGCAAAATTAAACAGAAACTCAAGCTCAAATAATATATACATCCATTTTCTGATTTTTGTTTCAACAAAAAATGGGGGAGAGGAATGAGGCAAATTTTATTAATTGACGAATTAATACATAAAGAAAATCAAACAAATTTATTCACCAACAAACACAAATTGTATAATCTATCATTCTCAACTTTGACCAGAGCATTAGAGTATCAATCAAGTATAATATATAGTTCCACATTATCAGCTGCAGTTAAGTGATATAATTATAAACTTCAATAATATACTTAAAGATCCGTGTTTTATAATACGGTAGCAGCCAGTTATATTACAATTATCGAAATTGTGAAAATTATTGGTAAAAGTGGCTGCAATTATAATTAAAATAATGGTTGCAGAAACCTCAAAAAGACAAACCACGATATAGTGAATGCAATTACAGTTGAGAAATACAATTTTAAATGGAAAAATTATACTTTTCATTATCTTTCTTTTTTTTCTTTCACTCTAGTTCCGTAAGTTATGAAAGTTTCAATATGCTCTTCTAACTCTCAAATAGATCTTTTTCTGTTTTGGACGTTAACACCACTTGACTTTTCCCCTCTTCACTTCCTTTTGCTCCTCTTCCTCTTTTGTTTCGTCCTTCTTCCTTTTCCATGTTTCCACTAATTTGCTGGTGGTGGTAGCAGTGGTGCTGTGGTGCGTATTCTAAAGATAGTGGGGGAGCAGATTTGCTAGGTCTGGTTGTTATGAGTATGGTTTTGTTGCTATGTTGAGTGATTCTAGTGGAGGATCTTGGTCTTTGTTGATGGAGGTGGTCATCAACATTAGTTAGTGATTGGCTCTAACGGTGAACATGGGCCATGATTGGTGGTGGTTGGTGGTTGGTGATTCGTGATTCGTGAGGACTGTAGTGGTTTCTGATGAAGATGGTTCAGCAATGAGTTTACATTGCTAGGTAATGGTTATTTGGGTGCTAAGTCTGGTGTTAGTGGATGATGTGGATTGATGAGCACAATGGAGGTGATGGCACAACTAAGTTGTGACGTGTGATGACTGGTGCTCTATGATGTTGGCTCAATGTGGAAAGGGGTTTATTGTTTCAAAAGAAGAGGAAGAAATCGAGAGAACAATATTTGGCCAAAATAAAATAAAAAAGTTAACACAGTTTAACGTTCTTAACAGAAAATAATATATTTGAAACATATTTGAAAGTTAGAAGATCACATTAAACTTTTAAAAGTTACGGGACAAAAGTAAAAAAGAATAAATTAGAGGAACAAAGGTATAATTTTGCCAGTTTAAAACAATGTTAGACATATAGGGCCTCTTCATGAATCTTCACTGAACAGCTTAAGATTTATGGTGAGCTAGTTATGGACAATGTACAGCCTGTATGACATAGAGACCAAGACTTTGATCATTACTGGCCCTATTCTTCTATTAAAAAGTTATGTTTCGGCATATGGCAAGAATGAAGCTGTGCATTTGCATGTCCTAGAAAAGCAAAGCCAGGGTTCATCATAAAGACTTAGAGAGACACAAAGCCGTCTTCCCTCTATTGCCTGCAGTGAATTGCATAACTATACTAACTTGTACTTAGGCAAACCAAGATTGTTCGTAGTGTGTATCACTGGAAATGACCACACTAGTTTGAGTGTGCATGTCCTTGAAAAGCAAAGCCAGGGTTCATTATGGTTAGGAAAACAACTAATGGACCATTTAGTCAAGTGGTCTATGTGATACAGTGATATACCAAAGAATAATATTCAAGTTGTTAGCAAATGTCGATAAACTGAAATTCATAATAAGTGATAGGACCCCACATACAAAAGAAAGAGAAGCAACAATAAGCAATATATTAGTTAACAATTGTTGAAGAAAAACACAGATAGAACCATAATGAATTCTGGCTATGAGTGCTTAAATTTTCAGATCATCTAAATACAAATAAAATGACCTATCTTCCTTAACAGTTAACACCATATAAGGCAATGTTTGGTACATAGATTTCTTAGTATCACATGTTTCTTACAGCTTACAGAAACAACATACCATTCAAAATAATTATGACATTTATAGTTACAATTCTTTCCTATTTCAAAATGTGAAAGGAAACAGCCGTCAATTATTGCATCGAATAGATGTTCTTCAGTCTCAGTATATTTAACCCTACCCCAAAGTTCAACCACAACTCAATCCGTAAATCCATATCATACGATCAAGATGAAGCAAGTGAAGAAAAAAGAATGACCAGTTGAACGAAGTGAAAAAATGCAGGAGGGTGGGTGCAAAGAAAAAGAAGTGAAGACATTAAAAAAACTGGATGCTGTGGCATAGTAGTAAGTTCTTACAGATGTCAAATTCTCATACGGCCCAATGTCATATGGATGTTTATAGATACGCCCACCTTTCTCTGCTAGCCACAAAGCTCTCACTCCTTCACGATACTGCCAACATGTTGCTTAATTTAGAAAGTCGATATCTTTCTGGTCAAATAAACTAAGTTTTGAACTAAAAACATGTAATAACCTCTATCGTGGTCTTGTTATGTAGAATGAGATAGATATGCCACCCAAAAAGCACACATAAAGCTATGGATAAGGAGACCAGCAAGAGAGAAGAGACAACCTGCAAAACTGAAAATCATGAGATACAAATTGTTGAGTTCGCTTAAGTAAAATATCTATTCGTTTCTAACAGAACTTACATATACAGTTCTGAAAGAGCTTCCATTTTTCTCTTCATCCTGAATACCAACATAAGCTAGACTACCCACAAGTAAGATCTGTACATTAAGAAATATAGAAAACAAAATAGATTGTCAGCACATGCAGAACCATAAAATCTAGCACCCTGTTATGACAAATACAGAAAGAAAGAGAAAAATAAATCAGGCCACAGATTTCATTCATGCAAATACATTTTAGTGTGGGATTGGGTTAGGTTATTTTAATAAAATGAATATTATTTTGGAATGTTTTTAAGAAAGCTTTTGAAAAGAGAAAAAAAAAGACTATTTCTCAAAAAGAATCAGTTTCCAAACACTGATAAGGATATCATGATTGTAACAATAAACTCATAATAAAAATCAACTCATGTTTACAATGAAAAAAATTCACATACCAGGGAGTAGATGCAGGCAATTACAGCATACAAGACAAAAATGAAGAAGACCTTATAGTTTGCATGGCCAACGCAGTTATTTATCCAAATGCAGTGATGATCCTTACAACCAAAAGACAACAGTTTTCATCATTATCATGAAAATCCTAGATAAACCTTGACAGATAATTTAGATCACGCATACCATTCGAAGAACACATCTTTTACAAACCCGGCAATGATGTGCACGAGGAGGCTTATAGTGATTACACTTCTGGCAATATCTCAAATCTCCACCCTGCTTGCATATCCAAACAAACATCACTCGAAATTAATTTCCATGATGCTCAATACTAATATACAACCACTTAAATCCTTTAAAGATCAGAAATACATCCTTTTCTGTTAAGTGTTAATGTTCAAATAAACCATAAAATTAAGAAGCCATTTGATTATCATATGAACTACAACCATTTTCAGAGCATACAAATTCATTTAAGATGCTTCACAAGTTCCATGCAGTTCAGAAGTGCATTTGATCGTGAAAATAGAGAGGTAGGGCAACACGGCTACACCAAAGACCAATAAAAAAATCTATCCACCTGAAAACCACCGAAATTCTATAGCTACATTGTACTTAACTGAATAAAGGATAGAAAATTGTCTTTAAACAGCAAAGTATGGTAGAAAAACTATGAACTTTTTATCTTCTGACAACCAGAGATCCTTTTGCTCATTAGAGAAGTAAAGGGACAGAAGGTAACTGAAAAGGGCCATTATGCTACTTGCACGTGATCAGGATTAGAGTATTAAATTGAGATTGCGGTTGTGATATGGCTGCATTGCACATAGTCGAAACATGTGAAATCTTAATGACTGAAATGATGAAAAACCTTCAGAGGAAGGTGAAAACTAGTAGAAACCATTCTTTTCATCTCTCAGCCTCTCATAGTTTGGACCTTAGCATTGGAGAAGAAACAAGGCAGAGAAAACCAAAAGGAGCTAAGCTCAAATTAGCTAGACTAATAGACTCACCTTCAAACTTCCAAATTGATCCCACCCAAGTTTATCAAGCTGCAAGTTTTGAGGTGAACCAACCCAATACTTATCTCATGTCCTAAGATTGTAAATTTGACGAGTTAACTAGGGAGTTTGACATACATGGAAACGAGATACTGATTAATTACAAAAGACAGTCTCTTGAAAATGAATAAAGGTTTCCACAGGTTATATTATACCAAAGCCAGTGTCATATAAACAGGATTCTGAGATGAAGAACCAGAACAATAGCATAAGCATGGATGACTACAAATCATAATTTCTATCCAAACCAACCATATTGAAATCAATTTGCATTCAATCTCAATGGGCATGGCCGATTAGGAATATCATTAACCGCACTAATTCACTTTTCATATGGAAAACACTATTATGATGACACAACACCAACCTTTCTTGCACCACAAACACAACAATGAGAAGGTTGAAATTCATAACCCCGTACTCTTGATCAAATAACCCCGTTGCCTTAATCGCAACATCCATCAAAACCCTTCAACTATCCAGCAAAAACGAAGTGTTCCCCACCAAAATTCTAAAATATGCACCCTTGTGAATAACCAAAAACCCTAGTCTTGTAACAACACTATGCACCGAAAACTCTAAACCGATGGATTGTGTTTCAGAATGAAACGACCCTGAAACAGCATCAACTGCAAAATGTCATTCTTTCTTTTACCCGAAGATCAAGAAACGAAGCTAATTTTACCCCTAGAGACTTCGAGTTCCAAAAAGGCAGCACAAGAAAAGCAAAAATCATCGCGAAAAGAAAAAAAGGAAAAAAAAAAATCAATAATGAACGACAAACGATGTTCCAAACGGGGAAAACTAAACGAAAGAGAGAGGAAGAACGTAACCTTGCGTTTGATCTCATGGATGGGGCTTTCAACGTCTTCGACATCGGGCACGTAGGTGGAGGGGACCCGACCCGGATCCGAGGAAATGGCAGTGCGATAAGTGAAGGCGCACATGGAGGTGAGTACCGTGAAAACGACGACGTTCATGATACCCGGCGAAGAGAAGAGGCCGAGCCAACGGTCGATGAAGACGAAAACGGTGGAGGCGTATATGAACGCGATGGCCAAAACGACGATGCTTACTGGAAGCGAGAACGTGAAGCTCCGTTGCTGCTGCGCCTTCGTCTTTTCGGCCATTTGGATCGGAGGAGGCACCGGCGTTGCCGAAACGACGGCGTCTCCGCAAATGCGCGAGAGAGAGCGCTCCGAATTGGAAGTTTGGTGCGTGGTTATTATGATGATGACGATGCTGACTTGTACTCTCTAACAATAAATCCACACGGTGCCGCTGTCTTTAATTTTACTCTTTTGAAGGAACGGCTTTTTTTTCCTTTTTCTTTTTTCTTTTTTCTTTTTTCTTTTTTCTTTTTTCTTTTTTCTTTTTGTGGTATTTTCTTTTCTATCGTTGCTGTTTATAGCAAAATAAATGTATTATAAACGCTGTGCAAAGGATTATTATTAAAATCGGGTTGACCGAGGGTTATTTTCACACTTTGTGATAATTTTTAAAATTAATTTCAATTCAATTTGTTGTTTTTTTACGATTTATTATGTACGATAGTCTTTTTTAATATTAAAAAATTAAAATTTTAATAATTACGTACGAAAATTTACTTTTTATTATGAAATAATAAATTTTAAAATTTATACATTTACTTAATCCATGATTTTAAAATTAAAAAATAAAATATAATTATATCTTACATCCATGTATCTAAAGCATATTGCATAATATTGAGCATAAAAAAATTACATTATTTTTAACTGAAATAACGAGAAACGTGTAAATTTATCAAATGATTTTTACCAGGGTTATTATATTCTTAATTATGTCACATTTTATATTTAATTAGTTTTAATTTGATCTTTTGAATTTTAAGTTGTTTATATTTTTTAATTTTAAAAATATTATCTCTTAATTATTCTTTTGTTTCAAAACAACACAAACAAACTTAAGGAATCAATCTGAAGAAGCATATTCCACAAGCATCATAAAAAAAGCAATAAGTTTAGGGGAATGATTTTACAATCATCTAATGTGATATATTTGTTAGACAATTGACACATTAAACTAGCCTCCTTAAATATATGATAAAAATTGACAATTCTACATTGAAGTAAGTATTTAATTTCACCGATTAAAGGAGCAAAATAAATGAATGACAAGTTTAGAATCTATCTCTACCAAGACTTTATCATACTTAAGAGCTTGAACTTGGCAAAGACCAATAATAGTCCAAAGTTTAGCTGAAATAGACAAACAAAAGCTAAGTTTGCTGCTTAATCCCATTATAAACATCCATTGCTCATTCTTAATCAAGTCGCCACATGTTGATTTCATTAAATGCATATTAACTGACCAGTCTATATTAAGCTTCAACCAGCTTCTAAGAGGAGGATTACAACTAATGATTTCCTCTCTTTTAGAGCACCTATGAATGATATTTGCTGAAATAGTAACATTAGAATTAAGATAATCTACATAACTCTTGATTTGAGAAGAAAGGACAACACAACACTATTTACAAACTTATTATTAAAAAAAAAACCACACATTTTTTATGATTCCAAAATTTACCTACAGCCACTTGATGCTTATTTATTGTTTGTCTATTTACAAATACAAATAGCACTAATAAATGTGACACCTCAAAATCTCATTAATTTTAATTAGATAGAAATCACATCAATCTAATTAAATAAAAAATAAAAAGTTACAGAATAAATTAGAAATTAGAAACACACTTAGAAAAATATAAAAAAAATAGTCAAATTAGAAAAAAAATTGGACAATCAAACATGATGTAAACTAATTTTAAGTATAAACTAATTATCCAAATCACTTAAAATGATTCACAGCTATCTAAATTAAGGGAAATAAGTATTTATTTTAATTGAGAAGAAAAAGAGTAGAAAATTAAATCTAATTTAAAAAATTAGTCTAAAATTATTAAAATACCCCTAAAAAAAGCCTATAACGTTACTCCACTTTGAGTAAGAAAATGATTTTTAAAAATTTAAAATTTTTATGGCTATTTATTGGACCAAATAGGGTTATGGATAACAACTGAAAAGTCTAACAAAATGTTTGAAAAATACTCCTTATGTGATGTGAAAATGACCAAATTTTGAGCAAAGTTTTCAAAATTTCCAATCCTATTCAATCTAATCCAATTTGCACAGTTCTTGTGACTTGAAAGGGAAGCTAAATGTCTAATAATTAAGCAAGAAATTAGCTAAATAGGATGAGCCAGTAGGAGAGGAAGTTAAGTACACCAAAACTTCATGGAAATGACACTTGAATCAACGAGAGATTCCTATCCAATTAGCCTTAACAAAGTGCAACTAAATCTTTCCAAAATTAGCCAATGATTGATGATTATTAGAGAGGAGAAACCAGACTTGATTAGTAAGAGAATTAAGAGCCAATCAAGTAAGTACATAGAGACAAACCAAATGACATCACCAGAGTCAAATTTTTTCAACATGTATACAAGACTTTTGTGGACTATTTTCCACATGAAAGGAGGTTGAATGAGGAGCTACTCTCAAAAGTAAAAATTATTGTCGTATTCTACACTATATATTTGTAAGCTCCAACACACACACAAAGAGTCAAGGAAAAGTTTGAAAAAATAAAATCCATGCAAAAAGAGACCTTAGTTCACATAAAAGTCAAGAAGCAATAAGAAAACACTTAGCCAAAATTTCTATCAACCAAATCAAACATTCTCAATCACTTAACAATACCAAACACATACCAAAGGAACTCTACCACCCTAGTCATGTCATAATTTGTGCCCAAAAATAGGAAAAATAATTCAAAGAGAAACCAAACAAACATTAAGTATCCCACTACCAAAATTAAGTAAAAAGATTCCAACATTTGAAAAGCCAAAAGAAGGTCTCAAGTCTCAACCATACCAAGAATCTAAAGAGGAGTGGTCAACACTCATTCGCAATCCTATAAAAATTCAATACAAAACCAAGTAAAGGACTTAGAGAGACACATTAGGCGTTCCATAAAAACTTAGAGAGACACAAAGAAGTCTTCTCTCTATTACTTCTAGTGAATTGCATAACTATCTTGATTTGTACTTAAGCAAATTGAGATTGTTCAAAGTGTGTATTACTAGAAGTGACCGCATTAGTTTGAGTATTGTGCACTTGATAGTTTGATCCCTTAGGGATTAATGTAGTACCATGTGAGACACTATCTAGAAGGCAATTACAAAACTCTCAATCACTCAAGCATGAAAACTTAAAATCAAGATGGAATAATTAATTACTCCATGTTGAAATGATAAGAAAACATCTAAAGTTATTTATGTTTATTTGTGTGAATTACTTATATTCATCAGTTGATTATTTTCCTTATGAGACAATTTATAAAAAGAAGTATACTCATCCTTCCTATTCTTATGTCTCTCTTTTATGAATTTTATGATAAAAGGTGAACGATGATAGCCTTGTGAACTTGTACATGGTATTTTCAGCTTTGGCATAGGAATCTAGACCTTTAATCCTATGAATTAAATTATGATGTTCAATGGTGTTATCATGTATACTTTAGGTGAGATTGAAAATCCTTTTATTCTTTCCTCCATCACTTATAAAGGGTTGCGAGTAGAATTTCTTTTTCCTCAAAATTTTACTTTGCATTACTTGGGCTTGGATGGAGGTGTTTTTTTTAGGATCTCTTTTATTTTTCTATTACTATATATATATATATATATATATATATATATATATATATATTTATCTTTATATATATAAAAGTAAATATGTTTTTTTTTGTAACTTAACATATTAATATCAATTCATTTATTCTTGTAAAGTTTAAGGCAGTTTTAAATTTTAATATTAAAAGTTTACTTTAAATTTTATTATTAAAAATTGATAACTGTATCTAATTAATGAAGAATAGTGGATGAATAAATAATAATTAATGAGTTTATTATTCTAAAGGTCATGCAACAATATAATAAATACAAAATAATATTAATTTAATGCGATTAACATATTTACATATTTTTTTAACTTAATATTAACATATTAATATTAAATATTATTGTATTTATTCTTAAAAAGTTTTAAGGCAATTTTGAATTTTAATATTAATGAATTATTTTAAATTTTATTATTGGAAACTGATAATTGGTATTTGATTAATGAAGAATAGTGAAAGAATGAATAAAATTTAATGAGTTTATATATTCAAAAGGTCATGCATGTTATATTTGAATCTGTTATGGATAATTAAATGCTTTTAATATGGTAAATATAATTAAATGGTGCATCAGAGCTACATGGACAAACCTAAAATATTTAATAAAGAAAAAAATTATATTTTATTTAGTATATATAAAAGAAAATACAAGTTGTTTGTTTAAAATAATATTTTTCCAAAGCGGCACCTAAGATATCAATGCTTTCTGAAATCCAACATGGGAAGGTGGATTGGAGGATAATGGTTCAAATAATCTATTTGTGATTTTCTTCTGAGTATAAAAATAAAAGTAAAGTTAATAGCATTGACATGATTTTGGCCGATGAAAAGGTAAAGTTATTCAATTTCTTTAGTCAATGTGTATAAAAAATTTTTATTATTTAATTTAATTCCTCCATCTTCTCTCATTATTTTAGAATTCAAGAATTCATTGTATTGGCAGAAGGATATTATATTATGTTATAAAAAATTATTGAATGAAGGTAATGTGTATATCATGAAAAATCTTATGATAATTACTCCTAAAAAGAAGTTGTGAACTACTAAACACAAATGAAAGTTAATTTTGATGGCAACCACCAAAGTTTCTGAGGTCAAATGTGATAACATATCTTTTAACTGTTTTGATTTTGTTTCATTCTAAAAAATTTTCAGTGAGTTGAATAAACTCTATCTAACTAGTGAGTTCTGTTTTTTCTAATTTTAATTGCTTTCATATATGCTACTTTATTATTTTTAATGAATCTTTGTCGTGTGTTTAATTATATGTCATTGGTCATGTGATTTGTAACATCCCAAATTTTGGTCTACATGGCAGAGAGTGTTAATTATTAATTAGTGACTCTTTTGTTTGATTTTTAGTACTCTAGTTCAGTTCTTGCTACAACTGTTTAATCATATTATGTTCCCTGCTAGCACAATTATTTCTCCCAAGGTGTGTTTAGTTAATTTCGTATGTGTATGTCTATATGATTATGTGATCAAGTTACCTTGACTTAACCCAAGGTTAGTGAGATTAGCCTGGGGGCGAGATAGTCTT